CCCCCCCCCCCCCGGGTTTGGCCTGATAATTTGCGGAGAGGGGGTGGTGTCTTTGAAGTTTCTCCCTGCCACTGGGCAAGAGGATGAATCCTCCGGCTCCCTCCGAGTGCTGACTAATTCGGGGCAGCAGGAATTCTTGGATGAGTTTTTGCTTGTTTGGCTGACTTCGGACTCCTTCGCCAGCCCGTTTGTTCTCCCACCTTTATTGCTATCCCTCTTCTTCCCCACCCACCCCAGTTCTCTCGGCCGACTGGATCTCTCCTTGTTCACTCGGAAGGAAGCTTCACTTGGTTTTTTTGGGGGGGGGGATCAGGGCTCGCAATATCAAAGTCTTTGTAATTAACCCCGAACTCCGTCTCCTTCGTCTCTTTCTCTTTCTCTCTTTTTTTTCCCCGGCGCAGATTTTTGTCTCGGCCACTTCCAGCGCCACTTGCTGTACCTCGGGTTCCCGCGCTGCCTCGGACGTCTCCTCGGGGTCTTCCCAGACGGCGACCCTCGGCTGCACTTCTTACGAGAATCGGCTGCTGGCCGGATCCAGGACGGAACTCAACGCAGCCTTGGGGATTTACGGCTCGCCCTACGCAGCCGCTGGGGCCAACCCGGGATACGCCAACTACCTGCCTTACAACGCCGACCCCTCCAGTTTCTATACCGCGCTGGTGAGTGACCTTCCCTCTGCCCAAGGCTCGCTAGAAGAACAGGAGAGGAAGGCGCTAGTCCCTGTTGACCAGGGAGGCGTCCAGTCCTATTACATCTTTGCAACAGAAGGGGGAAGTAGAAACATTCAATTTCCAGGTGGGGCCAAACGGATGTTTACTTTAAAACAAGCCTGTTTCAATTCTACCGCATTTGTGCCTCGGGAGGTCTTGAGGAGCCTTCTCTAGTGAAAACGAGTCTGCTCAGAGGGCCAGACATCCTGGAAGCTGTCAGGGAGTAAGAGCCATTGAAATCTGGAGGACCTCCTACAGAGTCGAGGCTGGCACTTGGTACCCCTTCATTTGGAAGTCCCTGTTTCATACAAGGGGTCCCCATGGACATGTGTAACGGGGGGAATTGGGTTCTCTTAGCCCCAGTAGAACCTTCTTGCAAGTAAATAGGGGTCAGATCAATTTACCCAGAGCACTTCAGTTTCATTCACTTTTATCCTCAGGGAAACTGATTGAATCATGGAGTCGTGGAGAAAAAAGAGAACAAAGAATGGAACTCCGATACTACAGATATCTAGGGATGTTAGGGTGACCTGTCAGTTTCATTAATACTTTGGATTGGAAGTGACTTGGAGGCAGGGGCCTATCCTCCTCCTCTTCTTCCTCCTCCTCCTCCTCCTTCTCTGTGGTCCACCAGCATCTTCTTAAAAATCCATTCCAAAGAATTCAGATAAAAGTACAAATAGAGGGGAATTATATTCTGTTTTGCAAAGCAACAGAAAGAGAGAAGGAGAAGGAGAAGGAGAAGGAGAAGGAGAAGAGCAGAAACTCTCTCTGCCCTGCCACCTGCCTATCAGACATGCCCAGTTCTAAGCAAGCTTACAAATCCTGTTAAATTCAGTGAGATTCAATCACTTTACAATAAGCGATTAGATTTGCAGCTCCAGATTCTGTTGTATAAAGCAAATTCTTATTCATTTTTTATCTGCCCCCATTCCATAATAAATAGTAATTAAGGCTAACTAATTGGACGGGAGTTCAGTTTTAAGATTTTAACAAGGCCACCCAATACTCAGAGGCAAGTCCAGTTGTATTCCTGGGGTCTGGGGTCTTGCCCTTTAATAAGTATATTTAGGATTGCAACTTTAGGATGCCAACTATGAGAATTATGAAAGGGGGAAATCCCATAAAAGGCAGCCCTGCATGAAAATGACAAGGGATATTGTTTTGGGAGTCAGTGTGAAGGGTCCAGCTACTGCCATGCAATCCTGTTGTTCTTCAGTCACTCGGTCGCTTCCAACTTTCCATTTCTCCATCATTTCACCAAGATGGTCATCAAAGGACAACCACTGTGTCATCACTGAGAATATCTAACAACCTTATCTTCTACCAGCCTCTTTTTCAATTGGCTTTGATCTTTCAGGATCTTCTCCAATGGCTATTGCCTTTGTATTGTTTAGTATTTAAGTCTTAGTTTCACGGCAAGTGTTTCCACTGAACAGACTGGCTGTACTTCATCTAGTGTTCAAAATCATATTTTTTTCTTTATTCAGTCTTTCTAATGGATCAGTTTTCAGTCATATGTTACAACTGGGAAACATCATGGCCTTGATAGTATATCATTATGGTTAGTGCATATCTCTGCACTTTAATATTTTGTATAGATGTGGTGTAACCTTTCTCCAAAACAGCAGACCTCTCCGTTGAATCCTTCCCTAAACTAAATCCCAGGATAGATTCAAGTGTGATTAAGTTAATAAGCATAGCCTTACAGGCATATCCCAATTATGCTTGTTCATTAATCTGGATTAAGGAAGGACCGTGGGAAGTGTAACTACTAATAGACATTGCTATTAATGTTTCAGTTCACCTGTTATGTTAAACCATGGTTCACTTAACCCTGCCCTTAAATCGTGGTTTGCTTAATATTTGTTGGATATGTTTAACTGTTTAGATTTGCAGGAGCCCAGATCACAAATCCTGGTTGATAATCCACAATTGGTCATAGGCGTCAAGGCAAAAATGGAACAACCCACATACTAGCTCAGTACAATGTATGAGGCCATCTTCCACATTGGAAATTTGGGGAAAAGAGTTCAAAAGACACGGATGCACACTCTTAGCTTTTTATCTGGTTTTCCCCCTCCCAGAATTCCCAATATGACCTGAAGGACAGTTCACCGGCTTTACATGCAGGCATTGCTCAACCCACAGCAGCAGCCTATTATTCTTATGACCACTGTTTTGGGCAGTATGACAGGTAAGAGATATAGCGCTTAGATCTGGCACCGTAGCCCTCTTCCTCTCCCAGGTGACAAGTGTATGTGTGTTGGTATATGTATTTGTGTGGAAATCACAGAATGTCATTCCAGAATGCAAGCAAGGGGCCAGGCTGTGTTTCCAGGCATGCTAGCCTTGAATATAAGAAAAGGCAGGGGGTCCCCAAATCAGAGCCTGACTGGGAGAATGCGGGTTGCAGTCCAGCACATCTGAAGAGGGTCAGATTGAGGAAAATAAGTCACAGTCTAACCCCCTCATCACTAAGAGAGATTCAGTGTATTGTGCAACCCACAACCCAGCCCTAAATGAGATAAGGAGAAGGAAGAGAGGTAGAAGCCCATCAGGCTAAGCCTGTCATATGAATTCAGCCATTTGGAGTTGTGTTTCTTGGGACAACTTGTTTGTTTGTTTGGATAGTCTGTGAAGCTTTGTGTTTTGCCCTTGGAAGAAGCCATCTCAGCTCATCTTCTTCTGACTATTAGGTATGGAACGGTGGACTTTGGCAACTCATCCAGACGCAAGAATGCTACCCGAGAAACCACCAGCACACTGAAGACATGGTTATATGAGCACCGAAAAAATCCCTACCCCACCAAGGGTGAGAAGATCATGCTGGCCATCATCACCAAGATGACCCTCACCCAGGTCTCCACCTGGTTCGCCAATGCCCGCCGGCGGCTTAAGAAGGAGAACAAGATGACATGGTCTCCTAAAAATAAAGCAGGAGATGAGCAGAGGGAGGGAAGTAAAAGGAACGGGGAAGACTGCAGCAGTGAAAATGAAGACAAAGGTAAGAGCAGAAAGGTAGTATCATTTTTTCCCCCTAGACATGGGAGATAAATTTACATTACACAATATAAGGGAAGTTTCATCCTAAAGTCCTTTGGATACAGCATCTTACACTCCACGGGAGTCCAATGAGATGACTTCAGAAGTTCTACAAGTATGGTTGAAATCAACCGTTTTCCAAGAGTTCTGAAGCTGGGACCTTCCACACATTCAAATGCCCCTATTCTAATTCACAATTAAGCAACTTGAAGCCCCTTAGACAGTGTGTACTTCAGCTCCCATCAGACCTTGCCCAGAACAGCCCCTTAAGGATGATGGAACTTGCTATCCAACATCTGGAAGGCACATGTTCCCAGCCCTGACTTAGAACTCCTGTTCTGGGTCATTTTTTAAGAGAATATGTTATTTCTTTCTTTGCCCCTGTCCCTGGCATCTACAGATAGAGACACTTTTCATCTGATCGTAAGGTTCTGTTTTTAAGTATTATGACTCAGTTTCCTATCTCTACAGGAGAAAAACTGACCTGTCCCCTTGGTGGGATGATGCACCTGAACTACATTAGTGCTTAGGAAAATATGTCAGCTTCATTTTGACTGTTTTGCAGTAGTCCCCAAGGAACCAAATTACTGACATCTCTGCATAAAACCAACTTGACTTGCGCTTAATTTCCGTCTTAAGGTTACTGTTTTCTGTTCTTTATTCCTTTTATTTCAAATGTTAGACCCCAAAATCTGCAAAGAAGAAAAGGAGCTGCAGCTGAGTGATCTGGAGGACTTAGATGAGGAGGAATCAGACATGAAGGCTGAAGATGAGCTGAAGCACCTCCATCAGGATGGCCTCATAATTGGCAGAGAATTGACCGAGTCTGAGAAAAGCAGCTGTACTGGGAGCCCAGCCAGTCATTTTCATGCCTTTTCTTGTGCCAAGCAACATTCGCCTATTACTGGGGACTTTCTTGGCTACAAGGGGAACACCATAACAGGCAGTCTTGGAACTCAAGGCCAACTTTATGAAGCTCCAGAAAAGCCCCGCATCTGGTCCCTAGCTCATACTGCAGGAGCCAACATGATTGTGGGGTCCACCAGCAACCCTGCTCAAAGGACAGAGAGCCCTGATTGTTTGCTGCTCAGGGGAAGGTGCTCTGGGACTGACGGACAATGCAGTGAAGGAAGGCCACTGGGCAACCTTGTGAGAACACAACCCATTCATGATAAGGCCTTGGAAGAGCTGCCACAACCAGCTAAGATCTTTAAGAGTTCAACCTTCAACCTGCAGTCCATTGCACTAAACTATGCTTCATACCCTGTGCTAGGGGAGACATGTCAGTATGCAGCTGGAACAGAAGGTAGTTACCTTGGGAACTTTTTCTTCTTCTCAAACAGTCCTCAGTTCGATAAAAAGAAGTTCATGTGAAGTCTGGAACCCCAACACTGATGTTTAAACTCAGGAGAGACCGCTGAACACTTAGCCATTTTCTGAAGTAGTTATCGGTCTAACGTTCTCCACTCAGTTTGGGAAGCATGAAGGAAATATGCCAGCCTACTTATTTTTAAAGAGAGCTTAAGGAAGCTTAACTCTTGTTTGAAGAAATCTTTGACAAATAGGTGGAGTTGCACAGAGAGAGAGGTTGCAATAGCCAGCTGAGTTATAACATTTTTCCTCCTCTTTGCATGCAAAAATGATGTAGATACAGGAGTTCTGACATTTAACAAAATATCTGGGCTAATACAACATTCTCACCCTAATCCAGGTTAAGAAAACACAAATCCCATTTTCATATAGCTTCTTATGGCCAAAGAAACTGTATTGAGTAGATTCGCACTTCATTTATTAAGATAATGATTGGGTTCCCATAATATGCTGTTTTTTTTAAGCCTGATTAGATCACTTTTTCCCCCCAACCTGATGCCCTCCAATGTATAGGTAGTCCTCACTTAACAACCATAATAGGGACCGGAAAATTGCTTGTTAAGCAGGGTGGTTGTTAAGCAAGTCACCACATGACTGTGACCAGACCCAATTTTATGACCATTTTTACAATGGTCATTAAGCAAATCACATGGTCATTAAGTGAATCACATGGTCATAAAGCAAATCCAGCTTCCCCAATGAACTTTTTTGCTGGAATTTGCTTAACAACCGCAGCGATTCACTTAACAACCGTCATAAGAAAGGTTGCAAATCGCAATCATGTGACTGTGGGGGTGGTGGTGTGACAGTTTGTAACAGTTGTAAGTGTCAGAACAGGTCATAAAGCACTTTTTCCAAGGCCATCATAACTGCAAACTGTCATTAAATGGATGGTCATTAAGCAAGGATACCTGTACTAGAATTCAACTTCTATAATGTTCCAAGCTGATCACTTGATAGTTTCAGTATTGATTTGAAATGAATTGTTGTACTTTATCATTTGGCTGCAGGATGCTGAGAAAGTCTTTTTATATAGTCTGTTCCCCTTTCTCGCGGAGTTATCTAATTATCTTTCTGAAGCTTCCCAGAGTAATTTTGGAGCTGGTGGTTTAGAAATTCAGTATATAAACCTGTAAAGACAGATCACATCAGCAGCTTTGTAGGTCAACTTTGGAACTGCACAGAGGAAGACCGTGGGTGGGAAGAAATCTGCAGTCCAGGGTCTAACCCAGAAATGTATCTCTTTAGCTACAGCTCTGGTGAAATGGGCTAATGTAAGCTTTAAAACCTGATGAATGGCTTGCACAAAATTAAGTCTGACTTTTGTTGACTGATGTGGGGAGAACAATCTTCAGCATATAATTAGCAAATCAATATTTCACACCTTAAATTAGGGGCAGGCAACTGATTTGCTTTTCTTAAAAAAAAAAAAAAAATTCTATCTTATATTCTACTTGCTGTTGTTGTAGCTGTTTACCCCTAAGGATCAGTGGGAAATTGCAATGTGGTCTTTCTATGGTTTGCCATCAGCCTTTGGCATATGGTTTCTGTGGTTGCAAAAGGACGTTGGAAGGTAGTAGGCTTTGGTTACCTTCTCTCCCCCAAGAACCTCAATAAGAAACACCCCAACTGCGGGAAAATTCTATCTTCCACCCTTCTGAGGCATAACACAACTTTTGAAGCAAGGGAGCATGGGAATGGAGGACTTGGCATAGTCTCCTTAGATTAAGGAGTTCCTCAGTGAAAAATAATAGTGGCTCCTCCAAAGTTAATTTGGGCTGTTGTTGGCATCTCACCAGTTGCTAGATGAAACCCAAAGTCTGTTGCTTAAGGTAGCTGCTGAATAATAGGGCAGGATGCTATTAACTTTAGAAGTGAATATGTGTAGCTCAGGGTTGAACGGTGGAGTC